AGAATCCTTGAGACTATGTGTTCCAGCCTTCGGCGTTTTTTCCTCCTTTTTGATTAGTTTTCATCTCATTGATGTGCTGAAAACAGGCATTCACAACTCGGCCGGCACAAATAATGCATCTTCACTCGGGAGGAGCTCATCCATGCGGACAAAAACAGCATCTTCTGATAGTGGTTTAGATAATTTTACAAAAGAAAAGTACTTATAATAAAGCTGGAGGAATTGGAAATCAGCACTGCTTTACAAATTGGCGCTGAAGACAACAGGCTGCCTTGATTTGATAAGTGATGAACAGAAAGTAATTTATAGCGGTTCACACTTTCTTCAAAGCAGCGAATGTCTATGAATATATCATATCTGGAAAAAAGCTCCTACAATTGTCGAGATGCTAAGAATTGCCCATTGCTCATTTCTCTTCTAATTCTTGCAGTTTACGGCATATATTACTCTCAAAATGAATGAAATTCAAAAATGAGCTATTCTTTGGTAGAAAGTTGTGCTGTCTAGAATCAATTGAATAATCAAGAACGTTTACCTGTGGCTTGGAATGCTAGAGCTAAGTTCGAATAGTATTGGGAAAAAAAGATTTTGTTTATAGAAAATTTATTTGCAATCCGTAGTAGACCAATCTTGCTTTATTGCTATTGAAATTTTGTACATAAAAAGGCAACTTGAAAATTCATTTCGCAATCAGCCAACCTACAAAGATCTACGCATCATAGGCACCAATTTATGATCCTATATAAATTTCACGGATTGAGATATTGGCTTGATATCTCAATAACATTTGAATGAAATGTTATAAATGAATGTTCTTAATTAATTTCGTGGATTAAGTGTCAATGAATTGTTCTGTTTCTTCTAAATTATTGAAGATCAGCTGAGTTTTCTAGTACTACGATACACAATATTTATAGTACGCTAGATTCTTTTCTCCGCAGTTTAAATGAATGGCTTTGTCCATTGACCTTTTTTTATTAGGTAAAACGCTTTGAAAATTACGTTTTTTTCCGGGCTTACCTAAAAGCGTGTACGATGATGTACACATGTGAGCGGTAGGATATTCTCAAGCTCATGGGTTTGGCTCTCTATTCTATTATGCTAGTAACTTCTGGCCAAACTTCTCCCTTTCGCCCGCTCGCTAGCTGTGGTAACTCTGATGAGGTAATTTCATAGCAATTAAGGGGCAACTATTCAGAGTATATTTTCAATTATTAGCTTTGATGCTTGAAACTTGAACTTGAAGCAATAAATGATCGCGGTGCTCGAATGAAAAGCTCAGAAGAAGTTTTTGCAGGCGAAGAAGCACATCGAGAAAGCGAACGAGGATGAGAGATTTTGAGCTATACAAGCACGTCATTAAATGGGCTGCAATCACACCAACTACTAGGATCTGAGGCGTATCTGGATTAAGCTGCAGTGGCTCAGCTTCTCAAGGATGAACTCCATATCCAATTTATATAAGAGAAATAGTACTTTATGAGGGGAGGGTAATGTAACTGTTGACTTTTCACAAAACGAGAAACATCGTGGATTAAAAGAGCACAACGATGTGAGGTGTTGGAAGTGCAAGGTAAGGGCGTAATGGGTATAAACGGAGAGTCACAACAATTTAATTAAACACGTCAACGTTTTCGCCTAAGGGGTGGCTCCGTGGTGACATTAGCAGCTCCCCTATAAATTGCACAATTATATTGCCCCTAAAGTACAGGGCTAAAGTCAGTGACAGGACGAATCATGCAGGACAGCGAAGAAGGAAGATTGAGTGGTGAATGATGAGATGCTATTCAGCCCGGTGTTGAGAGTAGGATGCGGGGGGGAATAAGCCTTGTTGGGGACCGAATGGCGAACGGGCCGCTAAGCGCGCTCCTTCAATAGCGGCGCATTTTAATAGGGGAGTAATTGATGAGAATTGCTCTCACCTGACGTAGTGGGAGATATGCTGCGGTTTCGATGCATAATCTACCTTCACGATTTTGGAGATGACGCCCGTAGGGGTGGAGCTGACTTCAGCTGTGCGACGACCACGAGGCTGTCCCAACTGGTTGCGTGCACGGAAGTCTGAGAAACACCTGGAGCTTACTAAAGAAGTCGAGTTTAGGGAGGGAGGAGGTTTACTATCATTTTTCAATTGTTTTAAACTACACAAAATAAATTTAACAGCCCACTCTAGTTTTTTGGAGATTCTCTTGTATAAATAACATCTGAAGTTTAGGTTTAGCAAAGCTATTTCATTTTTTATATGGTTAATTGGAGGCCTTACGTACTAGGGTATATTTAGCCCATCCGAGATTTCAACATATCTCAACAGCTTTGCATCACTAGCTTTCTAACTTTGTAATTATCAAGTGCAACTCTTTTTAACGCATGAATTAGTGGTTAATGACGGCAGAACGCAACAAGTTCTATATCATCGTAATAATTCATTTAAGAGAATAGCAGGCCATATTGAGGGGAATTGTGGTATTCTGTGTGGCTATGTTACAGCCTATTTGAGCAGGAAAGAGAGATATATTTTAGACCACTCAGAACTTTTGCCTTTATTAATATAATTAAGGCGATTATAGCGCTAGAAAGATAGCGCTAGAAAGCGATTATTTCAATACTGCCAATAATTTTAGTGGAATGCTCTCTAAGCGAACTATTTTATTTTTCAATATCAAATTTTTGCAGTAATGATGCATAGTTTGTATCACTGCTAATGGTAGCGACTAACTTGCGTAAATTTACTCATTTATATACTTTAATAACATTTAGGATACTCCTGCCCATCAGTCTTCTTTTCTTCGACTCTTAAACAAACGAGAAGAGGGCCTTTTATCTTTAGGACTTTACTCATTTTTCACCTTTTCAGTAATATGACCGCTCACGAGCGCCTATTTCGTACCCGCGTTCAAATTTTTTAAAGCATGCAGATTTGCAGCGCTAAGTTCAAAGAATTGAATCTAGAGCCTTTGCTTAAATGAGGTAAATTTTTCACTGAAATACATACATCGTCATGCCATTTGAGCAAGAATACCTTAACATTTAGTAGCAAATCAGTAAAGAATTTGCATCTTAAGTGAGTGACAATAGCAAATGCATCCGTATATTTCTTCTTAAAAAAGCTCTAAATTGGTTCCTTCCTTATTCTC